AGCTGCTTCCTCGGAGGAGAGGCCACAGTAATGATGCTGAGGGAGCAAAGCCCTCAGGACGTTCACTTACGCACGGGGCAGGGCTAGAAATGAGAAGAGACTGCTGGAAATATCCACAACTAAGAGGTAACCAAATGAAAAGGAATGCATAAAGATCAAGATTCTAGGCAGCAGACTAGTATTGGCCATTTTTAATCAATCGCATGGTTTACTGGCTGGAATGAGAAATTCCAGAGGAATGTCATTTCATTCACCAACAAATCATTTTAAGATCGATCTTGAAATACAATGTTGTCTGCAATAGAATAATGTCTGCATGCCTACAAGGAAGTCCAGTTAATACAACTATTATTCAAACTTACACACAACCACTAAAGCCAGTGATGAAATTAATTTTACCAACTTTTCAGTCTGGAATGATCAAACATTGCAATCAAGTGCATTGATAATTATTGGCGATTGGAATGCAAAAATTGGAAACGAACAGTAGTTGCAAAACATGATCTTGGTGGTAGACATGAGCCTGGAGATTGCATGATAGAATTTTCAAGACCAACAACTTGTTCATAGCAAATAACGTTTTTTCCACGGCACAACAACTATGCATACAGACTTCTCCAAAGGGAATACTTAAAAGTCAAACTGACTATGTCTGTACAAAGAGCAGCTCAGTGTCAGCAGGTAAAATGAAGCCAGAGGCTGACTGTGGAACAAACTGCTCATTGCTCATATGTAAGTTCAGGTTGAAGCTAAAGCAAAACAAAACAAGTCCATGAGAGCTAAAATAAGACCTCGAGTCTCCCACCTGAATTTCGAGAACGTCTCAAAAACGTACCATATTTAACACAAGCCTTCCTGAGCTGTGGGAGGACATCAAGAAGATTCATGAACACTTTGTAAAAAAAAAAAAAATTATCATTTTATTGGGAGGGGGGCTCTTACAAATTTTATAACAATCCATCATTCAATTGTATTAAGCCCATGTACATAAGTTGCCATCAACATTTCTGAAACATGTTCTTTCTACTTGAGCCCTTGGTATCAGCTGCTCTACTATTTCCCCCTCCCTCCACCACCGTCCCATCCTTATGAATCTTTGATCAATTATATATTAATGTTTCATGTCTTACACTGTCCACTGTCTCCCTTCACCCACATTTCTGTTATTCAAACCCCCCATGGTGGGGGGGGGCGAGGCTATATAGCCAAGCTTGTGAGAGGTTCCCCTTTTCTCCCCCCTCTCACACTATCCTCTTACTCTCTTGATATCACTACTACCACTACTGTCATGAACATTCTTGAAGAAATCCAAAGGTCATTTAAAATCTAGGAAAGAAAAACCAAAGCAGAAGTCAGAAGGGACTCTGAAACTTGCTCTTCATCTTTGAGTCACTCAGGCAAATGGAAGAAATGAGGAAGTCAAAAAACTGAACAGGAACTTTCAAAGGGCAGCTCGAGAAGACAAAGTAAAATATGATGATGAAATGTGCAAAGACCTAGAGTTAGAAAACCAAACAAAAAGAACATGCCTTAAGCTGAAAGAAGGTAAGACCCCATGGTACTGAAGGAAGAAGTTCAAGCTGAAAGCATTAGCCAAAAACCAGACTCCAGGAATTGATGGAATACCAACTGATGAAATGCTTCAACAAGCTGAAGCACTGGAAGTACTCACTTGTCTATGCCAAGAGATTTAAAAGAGAGCTACATGGTCCATTGACTGAAGACATCCATTATTTGTACCCATTCCAAAGAAAGCTTACCCAACAGAATGCCCAATCTATAGAACAACATGATTGATATCAGTTGCAAGTAAAAGTTTGCTGAAGATCATCCACCAACAGTTGCAGCAGTACATTGACAGGGAACTAACTGCCAGAGGTTCAGGCTGGATTCAGAAGAGGACCTGAAACAAGGGATATCATTGCTGATGTCAGATGGATCTTGGCTGAAAGCAGAGAATACCAGAAAGACACAAAGGCATTCTAGTCTGTGCATCATGACAAACGATGAATGGTCTTGAGAAGAATGGGAATCCAAAACACCTAAGTGTGCTCATGTGGAACCTGTTCACGGGTAAGAGACAGTGGTGTGAACAAAATGAACACTATGGTTCAAAATCAAGAAAAGTGCATTGTATTCTCTCACCATACACATTAAACCTGGAAGCTGGGCAAATCAGAGAAGTTGGGGTATAGGAAGCAGAATGTAGCATCAGGATTGGAGGAAGATATTAACGTGTGATATGCAGATGACACAACCTTGCTTGCTGAAAGTAAGGAGGACTTGTTGGAAAACTATGTGGTATACGTCGTCATTGAGTAGCTTCTGATTCATAGGGACCTGTGTACAATAGACCGAAACTCTGACCCATCCTACAGCATTCTCACAATTGTTATGCTTGAGCCCATTGCTGCAGCCATGATGCCAGTCCCCTCTCCTGGATGGTCTTCTTTTTGCTATCTACCATCTACCAAGCATCATGTCCTTTTCCAGGGACTGGGCCTTCCTGATTAACATGTCCAAATATGTGGTACCAATTAGAACTCTTCACAAAGTATGAACATTAAAAAAAAAAGATGTATTAATGTCACAATAAAAAATTTCTTACACTTAAAAAATTTTTTATTAATGAACTGTAGAAATGATCCTTGAAAGTATAGTCTTTCAGGGAACAAGTGATCCAAATCGGTGGTGAGGAGAGTGTAGGAGGCCTGGTAGGGTGTGATCCAAGGTAATGTAACCAAGAGGAATTACTGAAACCCAAATGAAGACTGAGCATGATAGTGGGACAAGAGGAAAGTCAAAGGAAATAGAGGAAAGAGCTAGCAGGCAAAGGGAATTTATAGAGGTCTAAATAAAGACATGTATATAGGTAAATATATTTATATATGAGGATGGGGAAATAGATCTATGTACATATATTTATAGTTTTAGTATTAAAGTAACAGATGGACATTGGGCCTCCACTCAAGTACTCCCTCGATGCAAGAATACTTTGTTATATTAAACTGGTATTCTATGATGCTCACCTTCCTGACACAACCGCTGAAGACAAAGTGGGTGAATAAGCAAATGTGGTGAAGAAAGCTGATGGTGCCCGGCTATCAAAAAATATAGCGTCTGGGATCTTAAAGGCTTGAAGGTAAACAAGTGGCCATCTAGCTCAGAAGAAACAAAGCCCACATGGAAGAAGCACACCAGCCTGTGGGATCATGAAGTGTTGAAGGCATCAGGTATCAGGCATCATCAGAACAAAAATCATATCACTGTGAATGAGGGGGAGTGCCGGGGTGGAGACCCAAAGCCCATCTGTAGGCAACTGTACAATCCCTTACCTAAGGGTCTCAGGGAGGAGATGAGGCAGTCAGGGTGCAGTGTAGCAATGATGAAACATACAACTTTCCTCTAGTTTCTAAATGCTTCCTCCCCCACCCCCCACCCCGTTATCATGATCCCAATTCTACCTTACAAATCTGGCTAGACCAGAGGATGTACACGGGTACAGAGAGGAACTAGAAACACAGGGAATCCAGGGCAGATGATCCCCTCTGGACCAGTGGTGAGAGTGGCGATACCAGGAGGGTAGAGGGAGAGTGGAGTGGAAAGGGCGAACTGATTACAAGGATCTACATATAACCTCCTCCCTGGGGGACGGGACGGACAGTGTAAAAGTGGGTGAAAGGAGACGTCCGAAGTTGCAAGATATGACAAAATAAAAATTTATAAATTATCAAGGGTTCATGAGATCTAGGAGAGCGGGGAGGGAGGGGACAAATGAGGAGCTGATGCCAGGGGCTTAAGTGGAGAGCAAGTGTTTTGAGAACGACGAGGGCAATTCATTTACAAATGTGCTTTACACAGTTGATGTATGTATGGATTGTGATAGGAATTGTATGAGCCCCTAATAAAATGATTAAAAAAAGAAGAAAAGAAAAACATTTTTTTCTTAAGAGTTAAGGCCGCCATCAACAGAATTCACCAAGAATTACAGAACTATACATCTGGATGGGCACAGGCAGTTTAATTTTTCTCCAGCAGAAGAGATGGTGGGTTTGAACCACCCACCTTGAGGGTCACAGCTCACTACTTAACCCACTGTACCACCAGGGTACTTAGACTGGGGACTTTCTTATTCCCCAGATGTTTGGGACAGTTGGGTGCCACTCCTGGCCACAGCCTTTATTTAGCTCGCCTTGGTGTGGTGTGAGGTGATTTCAGTCTTAGGCATCATTAGCATTTAGCATGAATGGGGAATGGAGCCTGTTTCAAATCATAGCCGTCTCCGAGGCGGGAAGCGAACATGCAAACAATGGGTGACATGGCTCCGGACCTCCAAGACATTGAGGGAAAGGGGGAGAGTGTTGAGATGAAGTTTCCCCCTCCTTGTGGTTGGGGCGTCTCCTTCCCTTCAAGGCTCACTGCCCTGGAGTAGTGTCTGAGGCTTAGCAGCTCCAGCAAGGCCGCCGTGGCCGGAAAGCCAGGTGTCCGTGCGTGCCTCCCTTACTGGCTGCTTTGTCCTAGTCAGAGGTTTTAAATTTGAAAAGAGGATTTGATTTTGCAGGACGATGCGGTGGGGTTGGGAGGGATACGCCAGGCATCCCCAGAAGCAGAATCTATGAGGGGGCGAACTGTGAACTGTTCATTATCGATTAGTAAGGAAGCACAAATAAGCCCATGCTTACCTTGCATATGGGGTATTCTGACTCTGAGCGCCAGTTTCAGACTTAACACCCGCTAGCCTCTAAGGCTGACCTCTGAACCTTGGGCTCTGTCGCCCAGTGGCTACCGGTCCATCTGGGGTAACCGACTGCACCTAGGACCCAGAGGTTGCCGGGCACGTTCTGGTCCCGCCCCCCCACGCATCAGCGGCCTCGGATTGGCTGTGGGCGGGTTGGTCCCGCCCCGCCATGGCTGCCGCCTGCTGCCCGGGCTGCTAGGTGGCCCCGGGGGTGCCGGTCTGGGCGGCGCTCTGCTGCCGTTCGGGCACCGGCGCGAGGCGCATGGGTCTCCTGAGAGGCGGGTCCCCATGCGCGCGGACCATGGCGCGCCTGGGCGCCGTGCGCTCTCACTACTGCGCGCTGCTGCTGGCTGCGGCGCTGGCCGTCTGTGCCTTCTACTACCTCGGCTCCGGCCGGGAGACCTTCTCGAGCGCCACCAA